TCCGAGGCAGTATCACTATGGAAGTAGGATTGCCCAACCTTCCTTCCGAGGAGTGGCTGGTGGGTTTGAACCGTCAGCCTTCTGGTGAGCAGTCAAGTGCTTTAGGCACTATGCTACCAGAGCTCCTATGCAGGATCCTAGCATGCCCAAAAGCCCAAGACCTTTCTCAAAGTATCTTCTTATATACTGGAAGCAGACTGTATCCCTAAGGCAGCTACTCAGCTGCTCACAGCAGCTTCCACCATGGAATTGATTACCAGTCTCATCGTGGGGGAATAACTACATCCAGCTGCCCAGCCACTCAAAACCAGGCCCAGCCAAGTTGACACATAACCTTAACTACTCCTAATTCCTCCCCATCTTCTTTTGATACTTCCTGCATCATTCAATATTTTGCCCATAGAAACTTTCGATATAGCAACTCGAGGTCTGAATTTTTTCTTCAATTCTTTCAGCTTGAGAAATGCTGAGCATGTTCTTCCCTTTTGGTTTTCTAACTCTAGGTCTTTGCACATTTCATTATAGTAATTGACTTTGTCTTCTTAAGCTGCTCTTGGAAATCTTCCGTTAAGCTTTTTTATCTTGTCATTTCTTCCATTTGCTTTAGCAAGTTTCAGAGTCTCTGATGACATCCAATATGGTCTTTTCTTCCTTTCCCGTCTTTTTAATGACCTTTTGCTTTCTTCATTTTTGATGTTGTTGACATATCTCACAACTCGTCTGGTTTTTGGTTCAATGTGTCAAATCTGTTCAGGTGGACTCTAAATTCAAGTCAGTTATAATCAAGGTCATATTTTGGCTCTCATGGGCTCGTATAAAAACTTTACACTTCTCCAAATGCAACCTCACTGGCATTCTAAGATGGACTTGCTACTCTAAGCCCATAAGCTCTTGGAGCTGGTCCCTTGGGTTGCTCTATAGCAATTCTTCAGGGATTAAATTCCTCAGGCATGCTGAACCCTGTGCTTCCTGAAACCCAACGGTCAAAAACATTGAATGACTGGCTCACTCCTTCTCTCAATCAGTGAGTAGAAGTGTACTGAAGGCCTCCTCTAGGTTGCAGCTTTCTTATCAGAGAGAATACTCCCATATTAATAATCTCTTAAATTAGTCTCTTCCCAATGCCCCTGACCTATAGGGAAGCTGAGAGGAACCAGTAGCTGTATTTCTGACCTACTCTTCCCTCCAGCATTTACAGGCCTATACTTTTTATCTCACTGGCAGGGATTCCTGATTCTGTTCACAGGTGCTAGGATAGGGTAGAAAGAACATGACATGGTACTTACCCAGCAATGTGGGACCAAGTCCTGATCTTCCCTCTCCAGCTGTAACCTTGGGCAAGCCACTTGGTCTCTGTAGACTTCACTTCTCTTTACTCTTGACATCTTGAGGGTCCTTTCAGTGCTAAGATTCTGTAAGTAAAGAGGTGGGGCCACCAGAATCTCTGGCTTCTTCAACTAGTCTCCTAATTCTTTCTTCCCCCACATGCCAACATAAAACATATGAGCTCAGAGGTATTTTCATGGTTTAATTAGTGCCAAACAGAATATACAGACAGTTTTTATTGAGGAAAATGAGCCAGGTTTATTTAAAACTTTCTGCATTTAAAAAAGTATATGCCTGTTTTGGTTACTTAGTGCCACTCTGACAGGAATATACCACAAGTGGGATGGCTTTAACAAACAGCAGTTTATTTTCTTACAGTTTGGAGGCTATAAGTCCAAGTTCAAAGTGCCAGGCTCTAGGGGCTGGGTGAAAGCCCACACCTTGGGCTTCAGTTCTGTCTCCTACCCCAGGTCCACTGGAGCTAGAGGCTTTTCTTTACTCAGACAGCCGCTGGCTGCTGAGGCTGACAAACCCAAGGTCAACAAAGGAAAAGGCACAGTCCCAATGTTACCAAACAACATGGCAGACCATTGATTCAAGTCCATTCTAAATCCCAAGGTCGGCAGAGCATGGCAGGCTGCTGAACAATGACGTGGCTACATGCAGGGTTCAAGCGTGCTGTAAACCAGGGGCCATTTCCAAAGCTGCTTCTTATATACCGGAAGCAGACCACATTCCTAAAGTAGCTACTCAGCTGCTTGTGGTAGATCCCATCATGGAGATGAATGCCAGGCTCCTCATGGGGAATAACTACCACCAGCTGCCCAGTCACTCAAACCAGCCCCAGCCAAGTTGACACACAACCTTAACTACCACAATATCCTATGATAAAAATAACTTACTCTTTGTGTGATTCTCAAAATAACCCTAGGAGTTAGGCAATGCATACATACATACCCTGCTTTACAATCAAGAACCTGGGGTTCTCTGAAGTTCCTGAAGGCTGTGAGAAGAGATGGAGGCAGTATTTGAGTTTTAGTCACCAAGCTCTGAGAACTCTGACTCTATTGTGCTCTCTCCATTTAAAGCACCCTCAGCCTCCACTCAGTACTTGGAAATGTAAATAGGAAGAGCTAGAAGATCTATGTTTAATTTATTTGATTTGGGTGAAAGTTTACAAGCAAATTCGCTTTCCATTCAGTAGTTCATACACATTTTGTTTCATGACATTGATTGCAATACCCATAACAGCTCTCTTCCCACTTCTTCTTTGTGGTTACCTTTTTCCTAAGTCCTTCTATCCTATGAATGCATATTCTATAAATGCATAGCCCTCTGAGCTATCTCCCTGTGCAAAAGCTGCCCTTCTGAACTCCCATGGTTGATGGAAAGTGTACCTACCTGGTGTAAATGTTCACCTCACAGGTATGTCGTTTGGCTGGAAACCATGGGAGTGAGTTCAATTCCAGACCTGAATGGGCCATAGCCTCAAGGGTTTCACCAATGTCTATCAGACCAGTAAGTGTAAAGACCTACATTTTAATTCTGGTTCTTATGTTACTAGTTGTGTGATCCTGTGTAAGTTATTTCTGTTCTCTGGCCTTCAAATTTCTTACTTGTAAACTGAGGTGAGGATATATGGCTTCTAAGGTCTCTTCTAGGCCAAATTCTAGGATGCCATGAAAACCATCTATTTTTCTACCAAATCTAGCATCTTTTAGAAAGATGGGTCCATAAACCAACAGTTGATATGCAATGAAGCAACTCTCAAGATAGCAACTGAGATTCCACTGCACATCCTCTACTAATCAGGTACTTCCAGCAAAGGGCCAGAAGTTAATTCTTAAATATCTCCCTTTTCCTTCTAATTCAACAAGCCTAGACTCTTACTTTTTGTTTCTTTCACTCTTAGGAGTATTTTGTGTTAGATGCTTCCAGCATTGATGAATTTGCTCAACACTTAAGTGAGTTTCTTTGGGACTTTTGATTTAAAAAAAAAAAAAAAAAAAACCTCCCTTACATCAAAACATTCTTGCCTCTCAGCCTCCCTAAACAGATGTTAAATGATCCTAAGCATCCCTTTCCTCCCCAGAAACGTTTTGGTAAAGACTGACAGTACAGATGGCCAAACCTTCCTCTTTGTTGGTTGCTATGTATCTACAGGGAGTTGCCAACAACAGCTGCATGCTGGAATGAAGGACTAGGAAATTATTTTGCAATTGGAAAAAACAAAACTATGGGATGAATGTTTCTAGGCTGCCAAAGGAACACTGTCTCTTTACTGATGTTATGGAAAAAGCATAGTAAGGCCAGTTCCACAGTTGAGCTCTGCACTGCATTTTCCCTCTTGGCACTTGATCTCTTCCATAGCAACCAGACTGTAACATGACAGGTCACTTTTCTGCCTACACAGCAACATCTGCAAGCTTTTGAAGAGAATCACTGAATACGTGCCTGGAGCCTTGACAAATCTTGGGGATGTTTCACCTTACAACAGGCTAATGAATAATTAGTTAGCTCCATTCTGTGCCTCCTTCACTGTGCAGTGATTAAGAGCACAGATTTGGGAGCCAGACTATGTTGCTTACAATCTGTTAAATGATTTGCTTTGTGGCTTCAGGTAAGTTATTTAACTTCTGTATGCCTCAGTTTCTCCATCAGCAAAATAGAGGCCAATGATAGACCTACCTCCTAGGGTTATTAAATGTATTAGTGCCTTGGATATAGGACATTATGTGTCTGTCATTATTTTGTAGGGTGGCAATCCTAGGAAACAGATGACTTACTTCTAGGAGACTAAGGGTGGTTATTTCAAAGTGTTAACTCCTGCTACAATTTGGGAATTAAATTGTCCCTGGGGGGTCATTCTGATTAGAAAATTAATATAAAGCTGTCACTTGTACATTCTGGAGTTTGTTTACTCTAAAAGTGATGTACACATGTTACTTTCACAGCAGCATAAAAAGTACCTTTTAGGTCATTGTGTACACAGGAATCCTCCATATCCAAGCCTGGATGAAACCTAAGCAATGATGATACTGTTGTTTAGGAAACTATGGGTTACACAGAAGAAAGAAATCTCCAAACTGACATCTGAAAAAATCTGGTTGTTTTAAAATCTCTGGTGAAGATGCCTATGTTGATAAATCTGAACATTACATATTATACTGTAAACATCAAGTAACACCACAAACTTTTTTTTTTTTTTTTTTAAAAAGGAAGTTTATTGGTCTTTAAATGGCTCAAATTGCAAATAAACAAATTGGGTAGTGGCATCAGCCTAAGACATATGATGCATCTTTGTCAGTTGGCTTCATAGCACCTCAGTACCCAGGAGAGGAAAGGTCTCAAAGCAAAGTCACAATGTTAGTGGTTAGGACCCCTGGTTAAATAAGACTGCAATGAGTACACATTGAGATCGATGGGCCCCCACTGGGCCAGTGTTACATGGGTAACTTTAATTCTGCACATGGCATAGCCTATGAAAAATATGAAAAGATGTACATCTCAAACTTCTGAAGGACAAATATTTAACATGACAAGCTAGATGTAATATCTAAAGAGTTCCTAAAATGCCTATTTCTGTTAATTTTACGTTCACACCTGTTACCTGGAATGCCTGAACACATACATCTTTGACCTTTTGAAATCAGGACTGAACAAAAAGAAAGATAAACTTTGTTCAGTCAACTGTCCTAGCCCTATTCCAAAAAGGAAAGAAAATTTGACAGTGGCATATTTCCCATTGAAATTACGTTGCCAAATAATGTGCTAGAATTCTTCCACTGGGAGAAAACACCACACGATGGTGACATAGCACGCAGGCCTAATGTTTGGTCTGTGTATGCCAAACATGTTTTCTGCATTATATACAGGTTTGATTGCTTGACGTTAACTTTAGGAAAATGTAGTTACAGTGTTCTTCATTAGGAACATAAATAACTACAAACAACCCTAACAACTCCAGTATTGTCAAACTGTTACCTCATGAGTACAAACTTAGAAATTAATGGTGGCAAGCATGGATACTTTCCCAAAGTGTCCTAGAGCTAAATGCATTAGAGCACTATGGATGTTTTTCCTGTGCCCTGCTCCAAGGAAATGAAAAACGTAACAATTCCATGCTCACCACCTGCAAAAGGGGATTTCCAGGGACCAGCAGCTTAAAGAAAAAATGGTTCACTAAAGCATAATGAATGATGAATTCTTAGACAGTCTAAAATCATCTTACAAGTTTCTGCTGGCCCTTCATTTTAAACCACCTTATAGTTTATTCAAAGCAATCAAGGAGCTCTGAAACCTGATTTTCAAGAACCAGAGTATGGCACACATTTTAAATTTGGACAGACTCCTAGTAGACAGTTATTTCTCAACAATCTTCTATACAAAAGCTGTACTCCCTAGTAGGCATATACATTCTCTCACCAGGACACATGGGATAACAGGCCCATGGAGCCAGGGAGGACACACCCAGAATAGTATAACCGGGTATTTTTCGGTTTTTAAATTAAGGCATATTCAAAAATTTTCATATACAAGTTCACACCACTTTTCTTACTTAATCACCAGGTAAATGATGCAGGTTCACAGATGAATTACTCTCATTGAACAATATGCAACAACCATGCCAATCACTTTTTCGTTTATATTTTGCATAACAATGGTTAAAAGAAAAAGTGGTACAGTTTAACTATCATGTTCACAATTGTCATTTTTCAAGGCAGTAGAAGACCAAGACATTTTAAAATGATATAAAATTTAAGATTTATAATAATAAGCCAGAGGAAGTAGCCTTTCCTCCCATTCCCCACCCCCCATTTTACCTCTTTATTTAACAGTTCAAGAAAGACTGCCCTCAAAATACAAGCTCACACACTACATTCAGGACCGTGATAAATGTAGGCAATTATGAAACAGGTTGAACTTTGCTTCTTGGTGAAGCCACATTAATTTCTTTTTTTTAAGTGAATTTGACTTTCAGTGCAGTTCCAATTCATGCTTTTAGTGATACATAACAATTTCCAAAATGTTAAAGTAATTTCAGTCAATTGAGCCTTCAATGGCAATGCTTATAAATTATATATTTATTAGTATGGTCAAGTTAAGAAAGGAGTTTGGGCTCTGATTATAAAATGCAGCATCTTTCTCTGATTCTCTTGGCTAAACTTTTCCTTTTCTTTTTTCCATTCTTTTCTTTGCTATCTTCCATCTTTCTGGCTCGGATTTCCCTCATTAAGTCAAAAAATACCTAGAAAAAAGAGAATAGTGTAAATAAAGCAAATAGAGACAGTATGTGCTTAGGAACTGCTCAAATCACAATAGTAAAGCTTGGTGTAATATAAAATTTATTTAAGAGCTCTTGTTTGGGGAGTACCAGGAGAGGAAAGCATAAAACTAAAATTTGCTTCTCTGAGACTTTTGAGAAAATGGGGAAATTTTCTGAGTGACACTTTTTGGTAAACATGTTCACATAATACAATCTGACTTTTCCACCCCTATTTTTAAGAAAAAAACAAAAAAGCACTCCAAAGTAATGGCAGCTCCAAAGATAAAACTTAATGGATTGCATTTGAGTAATTTAGTTAGCAAATGTATTTCATTAATTCATATTTAACAGTCATTAATTTAACATAATTTGTATTTAATAACCATTCATTATATTTAATAACTTATTTTTCCCCAGCTCCATTTTAAGCAATGTTTCTGAGGGAAATGGGGGCTTTATATCTTTTCGATACCAGGCACTAGAAAATAGCTCTCTTTGTTGCACTGTATTTGCAGATTTATATTTTTCTGATGTCTGGAAATTGGCAGGTGAGAAATACTAGCACAATTTAAAAATTAGTAGTACAATAATCCAAAAATTAAATTTCAATAACAAATGTCTGCATACACACAGCAAAGAGCTGGAAGGATAAGTACTCATACTATACACAAAGTTATGAGCGTGTGTATGATAATGGATGAATAAGATGTAAGACCCACAGTTTTGCATTCTAAATATTAAAAAAAAAATTATTATTCAGGGAAGAGGTGGCTATGGGGAGGAAGTGGGAGGAGAGTTGTTGCACTGTGGGAGAGTGCAGTCAATGTCATTAGACAAAAGCATATGTGAACTGCTGTATGGAAGATGAAATTGCTCTGTAAACTTCTGTTGTTGTTGTTGTTATGTGCCGTCGAGTCGGCCCCGACTCATAGCGACCCCACCTTGGGTTTCTGAGGCAGTATCACTATGGAAGTAGGAATGCCCAACCTTCCTTCCAAGGAGTGGCTGGTGGGTTTGAACCACCAGCCTTCTGGTTAGCAGTCAAGTGCCTTAGGCACTATGCTACCAGAGCTCCTCTGTAAACTTTTACCTGTATCAAAATAAAATTCAAAAAATTCTTATTCCTACTTTAAAACAAACAAACAAACCCAACTAATAATAAAAAAAGAACAAGGTCATGAACACAGTTAAGTAAAGAAATGCATACAGTAGACCCTTGCACAACATGAGTTTGAACTGCATGGGTCCACTTATATGTGGATGTTTTTCAAGATTTGGATCTGGGAGAAACTCAAGAGCTAACAGACACCACATCAGAGGAATTAACAGAAACAACTTGCTGGAGATGAGTGCTTCCAAACCAGTGCCAAATGATGAGGAAGAAGATGGAGTAGAAGCAGTGCCAGAAACAAATTGACATTAGCCAATCTGGGAGATGGGTTCCAATTACTCAAAATTGATTTTGACTTCTTTTAAGACATGAACACTTCCATGATAGTTGCAATGAAACAAAAACAAATGGTGAAAGGATTGGTACCACAAAGAAACATTTTGAGAAATGAAAAAGTAAAAATGTCAGACAAAAATTACAATATATTTCTGCAAAGTTACACTGAGTGTGCCTTCCTCTCATGCCCCCCCCCACTTCCCCTCTGCCACCTAGGATAGAACGACCAACTCCTTCTTTTCTCCTCCTCAGCCTACTCAACATGAAGATGATGAAGATGAAGATCCTTAGGATGATCCACTTCCACTTAATGAATGGTAAAGAATCATCATGTCATACAATTAATAAACTTATCTGTTGTGTTGTGTGTGTCTCTGTGAAAATCTAGTAACTGTATGGCAAGAACTGTGTTAACCAACTGTTAATGCTATCAGTGAGTCTTCTGGTCATGAGTAGGCTATTAGCAGTTAAATTCTGGGGAAGTCAAAAGTTATACATAGGTTTTCTACTGCGTGGGGATGCACACCCCTAATCTCTTGTGTTGTCCATGGGTCAACTACATATGTAATGACTAATGTGTCTTTTTTTTTTTTTTTTTGACATGCCTACAGCTTATGCAAACTAACTGAAGAAAGCAAGATACAGAACAGTATAGATGGAGGGCTACCTATATGTATAGAATAGGAATACGTATGTATTTGCTTGCATGTGCAAAAAGAAACACTAAAAAGGATAAACCAAAAACTAATAATCAAATTTATTTTCAGGAGGAAGGGAACAGAGTAGAGAGAACAAGGAGGAGTCCCTCAATCTACCTTGTTACATAGTTTCTACTTTGAAAACATAATGTTTTACATATTCAATTTTTTTTTTTTTAAAGTAATCTCTAACAACTGAAAATCAAAATGAATGAGCCTAAGTGTATGTCAAATTGGTGAAATAATCACAATAGAAAAGAATTATTTCAAGGAACTTTAAAATGCAGCTTGGGGAGTATTCATCTTAGAATAAATGCTAAGGACAAAAATAAAAACAAAAGCAAACTAAAAACAAACAGAAAACAAAAATTCTTAAACTTCATATTTTATAGTTATTAGTAGTAATATTGGTATTGCTTTTTTGGAAATATATGAATGGAAAGATAATGCAAAAAACTGATTATGTTAATGTGGCTTAGGAACCAAGACTTTTATAGTAAGAGAAAAGATGTAACTATAAAACCAAAGAGGTAAAAAATCCAGTAATGTTAAATTTGAATTGGAAATAAAAGTATAATCTCATGACTTTTTTTTTCTCTTTAAATACATATTTCCTAGCCCTAGTCACTAAAAAGGCCATGAAATAATGGAAACCTAAGAGCAATGAGCAAGTCAGTGCCCAGACTGTGGTCTCTAAGTAACATTCCTACCAAAGGGAACCAGGAACTCTGGTAGCATAGTGCCCAAGGCACTTGACTGCTAACCAGAAGGCCGGTGGATCAAACCCACCAGCCACTCCTTGGAAGGAAGGTTGAGCAACCTACTTCCGTAGTGATACCACCTTCAGAAACCCAAGGAGGGACGGACCACTATGAGCTGGGGCCGATTTGATGGCACATACCACCACCATCACCAAAGGGAACCAGAGTTTCTTAGATGAATGACTGATTCCTGTTCTGCAGAAAGAAATAAAATATTTAAGTCAGGAAGCAAAGTAGCTATCAAAAACTAAAAGAGTTGACTCATATGAAGAGAAGAGGCCCAGTGGGGCCCACCAAGGGGCCCCAATGGTTAAAGGAGGAAAAAAAATCAAGCATCTGGGGAAAACAAAACAAAACAAAAATGCAATAGACTGAAACACAGTGATTATATAAAACCCAAGAGTTCCTGCTTCTACTTGTTGCAGTTCTTCCTTCCTTAAGGACTGGGGATTTCTGAATGCCTCTGCTTCAAATCCACTTTTGGAAGTCTCCATGCTAACTAAATGACATTATTATAGTATTCCTATTACACTTTTTGATGCAGATACATCATTATGCATTGTATATTATAAGAAGGTTTAGTTTCTAATTTTACATGAGTATCTGCAATAAACTTTGTATGAATTTATATTAGAAACTGACAAGGTCATTTTGACTAGCAAAAGCAGTGGGAGACTTTTAGAGTGTTCATCAGCTAATTTCTTGAAGAAAAGGTACAGGAAGCTCTGTTTCAACTGCCAAGTGGAATCAAATAGGTAACTTGGGATAGGAATGAAGAACTGATTTTGATGAATTTAGACAAATGATAAAACAACAGCTTCTTCTGACTTCTTTTAATACAGACATTTTAGGACAACTGAGTATGTATTAAACTTGTTCTTCTAGTTTCAGACTAGAGATCATAGGAATCCCTTTTCTTCCCACATAAATAATAATACATCAAACTAGACAAAAGAAATAAGGTCAGAATGTGTAGCTCAGAATGTAGTTGAAAAATTATATAAAATAAAAAATTATTAGAACCAATCAACATCTCTTGGACTGTTAGCCTAAATCTAAATCTATCTTCACCAGTTAACTTCATGTTGAGTACTCAGTAGTCCCTAGTTCAAACGGATTTTCAAATGGATTAAGGATCTACTATAGAAGCCAACACAAAAAATAAAGTAAAACATTATATGATCTTTTTTTTTTTTTTTTTAAGTTTAGGATGGGAAAAAGTTTTTCTAAGCAAGCCACAAAACTCAGCGGTCACAACGGAGAACACTGACAAATTTGCCCACACAATCTTCACTATTTTTCCACGGCAAAGGACAAAATAAATTTAAAAGATGTAGTACAGATAGGGAAACAATATTCACAACAGATAGACATGGATAAAGCATTAATGTTCTTAATATAAAATGAGCATGTGAATCAAAAAGAAAACTCATTATAAAATGGATAAAAGAAGGTTTAATTTCACCGAATTCACAGAAGACCTAACAGGGACTGATGAATCAATAAGATGCTCAGTCTCATTAGCAGTCAGGGATACAAATTAAAACAATGACTTTTCAATCGATCTGATTAGTGATTTCTAAAGGTTGGTTTTAATTGGCACTGACAAGGCCATGATGGGAGAATTTCCTCACACATTGGTGGTAGGAGTGTAAGGACAGCCTTCTGGAGGGTGACTTGTCATTACTAAAACTTAACATGCACTCTTTCTCTGTATTGTTGCATGGTGCACAGACAGAAAGTTAACTGCAGTACTGTTTGTAATAGATACTTTGGGTGAAGGATGACTTTTTACTGTTTATTATTCTGCGTTATGGATTTTTCTTTCTACAATAAGCATATATTCATGTATTACTTGTACAATTAAAAAAGCAAAAAAAAAGTATTTTTTAAAAAATATAGTGTATATATACTAAATTCCTTTACCCGTTATAAAATTCGTTCCCTTGACATAATAAACCATACTCTCCCTTTGGAAGTCTACTTTTCAACGTCCTGCCATTCCCCCAAGATGTTCCACAAAATTAAGAGCAACCTTAGTGTTACAACTTAAAGAATGAGTATTTTGCTGGAAGA